ATTAACTCTGTTTTTAGTTTTTTACTTAAAAAAATGGCAATGACATTATTTCATAGTTATGAGAATTAAAGAATTACACAAACTTTCTCAGAGGTGTTCAGCACATAATGGAATCTGAAAGATGATACTTCATATGAATATTAGCAGTGTGCCAATCAATGCTGACTTTTGAGAGCTTGTCAAATTTCATTATTTTGTGAGTTGTTTAATCACTAAAAAATAAATTATCAAAACTTAAGATTGATCACTATGTTCAGAACAACGGCAATCATATTAAAATACTAAAAACTCATTGCTTTCTAATTATTTTATTACTATTTACAATCATTATTTTATTGTATCCAGATATTGATTTTTTAAAATCCTTTTTCATTTTTAGCAGTGCTGGAGATCAAACCAAGACTTTTTACACATTAGACAAACAAATTCACTACCCCTGACCTATATTCCTAGCCCTCTTTTTTTTATTTGGGAACATGTTGACTTATTTTTTTTTTTTCTTCTTCTTTGTTTAAAGTCTTAGGGATTGTTAAGTTGTCCAGGATGTTTGTTTGTTTTTTGAGACAGGGTCTTGCTAAGTCTCTAAGTTGCTCAGACCAGGCTTGAATTTGAGGTTCTCCTGTCTCAGCCTTCAGGAGTACTGTGATTATAAGCAGCATGCACCACCATGACCAGCTCAGCTGATATATTTTCAAGTCACATGATTCTTTTCTTAGTCATGACCAGTCCACTGATCTGTATCTGCTCTAGGGTCACTAATCATGTCTTTCATTATGGTCACCATCTCTGTAGTTATCTGAGAGATTATTTCTGATTTGACTTTTGTCTAGAGCCTCAATTCATCTGCTTTGTTACTTCCTGTTACCACTTCAGAAAATCCAAGTGGGCAGTTTTCAACTTGTCCTACCTGATTGCCCCCTGGGTTTTCCTTTGGTGAGCTAGAAGTCTGGGCTTACATCTTGCTTAACTGTCTTCTCATTTTCTATTTTGTTTTTTAGTTTAATTCCTGGGTTGATGCTTATAAATTGCTTATGGCAGGTAGTTTTACTGCTTATATGGAGAACCCTTAGGAAATGACTACTTCTCAGAGGCATCTCCCAGGCTTTTGGGTTTTGAATCTATTGCAAGATCCTATCTCTTCAATTTATTGGGGATGAGAAGTTGCTACCTATTTGGCTTAGTCCTGGTTCTCTGGCACTGGCCTATAGTATTGTTTTTGACTCTTAGGCAATCTCAATCTTGGCATACCAGGAAGAACAACTGATTAGAATCATTATGTCACCTTGGTTAAAGTAGTACAATCAGCAATAAATAATAGCATCAAATACAGCCTAGAAGACAACAAATGGTGGGAACTACCAATTTGCCACCTTTAACCATGTGAACTGTATTTGTGGTTATATAACAAAATCTAAAACCAGAAAATTGTATACAGTAAGTAAATATGCCCTCAGTATAGTGATTTTACCCTCAGGGAAAAATTTTTTTAAAGAGGTTAGGAAGAAAAAAATAGAGAAACAGGGCTGGGGATTTAGCTCAGTGGTTCTGCTGCAGCTTTGCAAGCGCAAGGTCCTAAGTTTGACCCCTGGTACCAATAAAAAAAAAAAAGAGAGAGAGAGAAACAGAAGAGGAAAATATTAGAAGCAAGGCTGGAGGAAAAAGGAAGATTATGTGAACTTTGGGAAATGTGAAGAAGAGGGAAAGAGAGAAGGAGAAAATAAAAAGAACAGAAGAGAACAACAACAATAACAAACTAGAAACAATGTTCACATTCATAAAAACAAGATCAAGAGAAAACAAAATGAAAAAGAAAAGAAAAGAAAAGAAAAGAAAAGAAAAGAAAAGAAAAAAGTCCACTTCAGGGCATATCTCTGCTATCACTGGTAGACAAGAGTGGACAGACAGAGCCCAGATCTGGGTTGATGAATCCCAACAAGCCTGCCATATACTTGCAGCAGGGTAGGGGATAATCCTTGTAAGCCTGCATTTTTAGTTCCACTGAAGTTTAGTTTGGTTTCTGGCTGTGAGGCTTGAACCCAATTTGTTCAGTTTGCAACACTCTGTGTGCCTCCTGCCAGCTTGAACTCAGCTCCCTGACTTCCTGCTGATTTGAACTCCATGTTCTGCCTTACCCTGACACTGGGAGCCAACCCACAGCTGCTCTAAGTTCTGAGCTCAGTTGGCTCCTCATCGAGATGGCTACTGGCCCTGTCCTGGGGGCATGTGTGTGTGTGTGTGTGTGTGTGTGTGTGTGTGTGTGTGAACGTGAATAACTCACCAGCCACTGCAGTCGGCTGTGTCACTGCACCATTCCACTGGTGCATTTCTCTGTAGAGACTCTGGGGATACTAGCACTCACCATCTGTCAGCAGGTTTGAGCTGCCCCTCCCATGCAATGAGTCGCGGCTCAGGGAGAAAGTGCCACTTGCCACCTCCTTGTGCATTGAGGTCTCTGTCTCTGCTCTGGCTTCAGATCCCTGCTAGGTCCCAAGGACCCACTTCCCTTCTCTTCTTCCTGTTCCAGAAGCTGGACACTAAACCTCAGAGGGGCTGTTTACCACTCTGCCTTCTTTCCAGAAGTCTGACCACTCTACTGATGAGTCCACCAAAGGTATTCCTTTTGATGCAGAGATTTTGATCTCTGGGCTTTTCCTTTGATTCTTAGTTTTCATTCCTCTGCTTACACTGCCCATCTGTTCTTGCATGTTGTTCATTTTTTTCCATTAAGAGTCTTCAACATATTAATTCTTTTAAATCCTGAGTTTGTTAATTCTGTCATGTGTGTTTGGTTCTGGTGCTTGTTCTGTTTCTATGGGGTGTATTTTTTGCCTGCCTTTTAGCATGCCTTGTAATTCTTTTTTATTGAAATTGGACAACATAATAGATAGGGCTTAGGTTTTGTGTTTATATGGTTGGGATTAGGCTGGTTTACTGTTTGCTATTGCTATAGGTGTCAGGCTAAAATTGCCCAGATGTCCTTGTTTTGTCTCTCTTGCTTTTTGATTTTTCCTTAGATATTCCTTCTTAAATATAAGGGTCTTGACTTTGCAGTTCTAAAGGAGGCTGCAGTTGGTTATTTCCTTTTTCCTACATTTGTTAGGCTCTGGCAAAGCTGAATTCTCTAAATATTTTCCCTTGAGAACATGCCTTTATCATGATCTGAATGCTCTGGGTGTTATTTCAAAAAAGGGTACTTTTTTCCTGTCTCTGCTGGAAGCACAAGAGGATTTTTTTTCTCAAGTCTTCACAGTGAGAATCTGGTGGGACTCCTGGAGATAAATTCTCAAAAATGTAAAAGAACCCTTAAAAATGTGCCTTCAAGAATTTTTAAAAATCTCTTAGCCGGGTGTGGTGGTGTACACCTAAAATCTCAGCACTAGGGAGCTGAGGTAGGGGGACTGTGGGATTTGAGGCCAGCCTGGGCTACACAGTGAGTTCAAGGCCAGCCTAAATTAAATAGACCCTGTATCAAAAACAAACAAACATCTCTTAAACTAGTCCATTTATAGTCTCCAGAAATTAGTCAATTGTTTTTCTTAGTATTTCTACCATTTGCTAGTTCCTGCTATATTTTTTGCTCTCATTAAGTCATGACTTTCTGTTTTGTTATGCTGATTTCACTTAGTAGGACCTTGTCTCTCTGTTTTTCATGGTAGGGGTTTGCTCTATGACTTCAATTCTCTGATGGGTATAAGAAGGGTTGTTAAATTTCAGTTTGCTTGGCTTTGTTCTTGTTGTTTGGCTAGAACCCAGGAACTTGTGCATGCTAGGCAAGTACTCAATCACCGAGCTATGTCCTCAGTCTAGGTGTGATGACTTCTTTTTTTTTTTGGTACTGGGGATCAAACTCGGGTCCTTGCGCTTCGGAGGCAGGCAGCAGAACCACTGAGCTAAATCCCTGGCCCTACGTGTGATGATTTCTAAGTTGTTTGCATATCAGATTGGAAACTGGAAGGTCTCATCAATTGTATTTGTCTAGTGAAACTATTATGTGATGGTGTGCATCTCTTCTCAATTTAATAATCAAGGGTATCATACTAGTAGCTTGAAAATTAGCCATGGTGGGGATTGGGGTTTTGGCTCAGTGGTTCTGCCACCTTCATCGTAAGCGCAAGTGTGAGGATTCAATCCCCAGTACCAAGAAAAAAATTAAGGACTCCTGATTAATACTTGAAAGATTAAAAAAAAAATATATTAGTCATGGTGGAAGAATTTACACCCTAAAAACTGGTAAATGTTGAATAAAACTGGATTTATCCATTTTGTTGATTGTCCATTCCTAAGAAGTAGAAAAAATGTTAATAATGCAGATTAAAAGTGTATCATACATATAGATATTACACTGTCAATAGCACAAAAAAAGTAGAAATATTCTTCCAATGTTCAAAAACTGTTATCAAATTCAGCAAAGATGTTGCTCAGGCCATTGACAAATGAGTGAAGTTCTAACCTAAGTTTCATTGTTTCGCTTTCATCTTACTAATGCAAATGAAAAATATCAACCAGCATTAAAAAATATACTCATAGCCAGGTGTGGTGGTACATGCCTGTAATCCCAGCACTCAGGAGGCTGAGGCAGGAGGATCGCTGTGAGTTCAAGACCAGCCTGGGCTACAAAGTGAGTTCCAGGTCAGTCTCAACTACATAGCGAGACCCTGTTTCAAAAAATACACACCCCCCCCCCCCCGCAAAAAGAAGAAAAAATACTCATAGCTGGGCGTGGTTCCTGTAATCTCAGCAATTAGGAGGCTGAGGCAGGAGGATCACAAGTTTGAGTCCAGCCTGAGCAACTTAATACAGAGAGATCCTGTCTTCAAATTAAATAAAGAGCTGGAGATGTAGAAATGTGAAGGAGTGTTCAATCCCCAATACTATAATCAGATATACACACAAACACACACACACACACACACACACACACACACACACACTCTCTCTCTCTCTCTCTCTCTCTCTCTCGCTCTACTGTAAAAGAAAAAGACCAAAAAAGCTACACTCACTTGTCAAATCCAACAGTAAGTTGGTTTCTGATTCAAGAATGTGGCAAAAAGTTGGATGTGGCATCACATGGCTGTAGCTCTAGCACTCCAAGAGACTGAGGCAGGAGAATGACAAGTTCAAGCCCAGCTTAGTAAGACCCTGTCTCAAAATAAAAAAGGCCTGGAGTGTGGGGGCAGGGATTTAGCTCAGTTGCACAACACTTGCCTTGCAAGTGTAAGGTCCTGAGTTCAGTCCCAGGAATGGGCAAGGGGAAGGGCCTGGGGATGTAGCTCGATGTGAAGGCCCTGGGTTGAATCCCAATACTACACAAAAAAGTTTGGCCAAGTTCAAAGAAAGTACTTGCTATAGAAAATTTACAATAAAACAATTACATATTTTATTTTATATAAATTGTGTGCTATACATATTTTATAAGAGCAAAGTTTACAATAAACTGATGTACATCAACACATGCATACATTTTTTTCTTCTGGAAATCTGATTGTTAATGTGACTGCCAAACATACAACATGGCCAATTTCAACTTGACGTGGAATTCAGGAGTATCATGAAAGGCACATTGTTTTTCTAAAATTTTTTTTGATGGTAAGAAAATGTAACATTTTATGTAAATGATAATATTGGCTCCAACATGGAAGAAAAATTATGCACTTCATATAATATACATTTACAGTGGGACACATGCAGGTATCCTGTCAGGGTATGAAAAACATTTGCCAATCTGCAAGTTGAGTGAAAACAACTGAACTTTGAGAACAAAAGCACATGTTCACAAGTCTCTGAAAATATACCTTAATATAAAATATAACATCCAATTAAAAAAATCTCTTGTTACACAGAAGAGTATATGTATCAAGAAGTTAAATCAAAGCTAGTGGAAAAATCCTAACAATTAACAAAAAACAAGAAACAAAATTTATTTTTTCAGTGGCTTATAACTCCCAATTGTAGAAACAAAACAAACTACATAAATACTAGCCCTACTTTAGCCCTACTTGGAGGTGAAAAATACATTTAAATTCACCTTGTTTAATTAAAAGACATATATTAAGCTCAAAGACAGTTGCTTAAACATATAATTACATCAAATCAATATTTACTTTTTTAGTGAACACTACAGACACATAATCTAGAGATTTATAAGTGCTTTACTGAAAAAGAACCCCACTATGTTTATAAGTTAGGCTATCTCTACCTGGGAGTTATTTCCTGGAAAATTTACTAAGAAATAATTGACACTAAACTTTTCATTATTACTTATTTGTATAGGTCTCTGCTATAACAGAAATTGCTGCAAGATTTTCAAAATAGGCTGACATAGTTTCTCCCCAGTATGAATTCTTTCATGTATTTGATGATACTTATGTATATCAAAAGCTTTCCCACATTACTTACATATATATGGTTTCTCCCAGATGTCAGTACTTTTATGTCTACAAAATGAATAGTAGCAAATCCTTTTCCACACTGCTTACATATATATAGGGTTGCTCCCTAGTGTGAATGTATTTGACATTGTGTCTACTGAATGCTTTTCCATATTGCTTACATTCATAGGGTTACCCTCCAATGTGAGTTTTTATGTATACAAAATGAAATTAGCAGCAAATCCTTTCCCACACTGTTTACTCACATAGGATTTCTCACTAGTGTGACTTGTCTCATGTATCTGTTACTGGCTATGTCTGAATGCTTTCCCACGTTGCTAGGGTTTCCCCCTAGTGTGAATTTCTTTCATGTCTTTGACAATAGCTGTGTATTGAATGCTTTTCCCACATTACTTACATACATAAGAGTTTCTTCCCAGTGTGAATTCTTTCAGGTCTGTGAGTAATTTCAACCTTTCTGAACTTCAATTTCCACTGGGTCAAATGGAGCTCCTACTGATTGTAGGCACTGTACAGCAGAGGAGGACCTGAAATGTAAAGAAACATTTCTGAGGATGAATTAGAATCACATACATTGTTAGAAATGACAAAACCAGGGCTGGGGATTTAGCTCAGTGGCACTGTGCCTGCCTGGCAAGTGCAAGGTCCTGAGTTCAATCCCTGATACTGCAAAACCCAAAAATAACAGAAATGACAAAACCTGAAATATTAAAAACACAAGACAATTCCAATATCCAAATGTAATCAAGGTAAGCTGAGAGTAGTTCCAGAAAACAAAGAATATAGTTTGCTAGAATGGCAACAATAGTGGAATTATGTCTGACTTTATAATTGACACCTGGGGCTACAGATGTGGCTCACTTTTGCTATACAGCGTGAGGCCCCGGGTTCAATTCTCAACACAAAAACAAATGAAAAAAAAAAAAACTACACTTAGCATAGGATGTGGTGGCACACACCCATAATCCTAGGATTTGGGAGGCTGAGGCAGGAGGATTGCCAGGAGTTCAAGGACTAGATAATGAATTCTATGCCAGCCTTAACTACATAGGGGGACCGTTTTAAAACAAAAACAAAACAAATCCCTACACTTATTAGCTGTGTACTGTAGGGCAAACTATATAATCTCCTCTAGTCTGTTTCTGTATTGCAGGATGCTGTGAACATTTGTCAAAAACCTACTATTTACTAGGGCCAGATCTGTACTTTTGTATCCCTAACACAGAGAGATTCAAAAATGAAGGCATTGACCTTGTCTTCAATTTCAGTACAATGTAAACACACACACACACACACTTTGATAATTTTGATGTTTAAGTATATCAGGAACTAATATAAGTGCTTGCTACTCATTAAATTTTCACTTGTTTTACTTCAAATTTAAAATATTCAATTTCCAATTTCAGTACAATGTAAACACACACACACACACACACACTTTGATAATTTTGATGTTTAAGTATATCAGGAACTAATATAAGTGCTTGCTACTCATTAAATTTTCACTTGTTTTACTTCAAATTTAAAATATAGATACTAATAAGCAGGTACATCTTATAGAAGAGGCTCATAGACATCTTGCCCAGAATCTAACAGCTATTAGATGATGGAGTCAAGTTACATTTTTTCCTTTCTGGTACTGGGGATTGAACTCGGGGCTTTTTCACTGAGATACATCCCCTGCCCTTTTAAAATTATTGTTATTTTTGAGAACGGATCCTGCCACATCACTAATTTCCCTAGGGTGAGCTAGAATTTGCAATCCTACTTTAGCATTCCAGATTGCTGGGATTACAGGAAGGCCTGGTTTGGAGCTGGGATATAATGTGACAGAGTCTTGAATTCACAAATTTTGCAAGTGAGAGATGGCGGTAGCAACTTTTCACACTTAGCAAGTAGCTTTAGTTCACCCATCCTCAAACAGGGATTAAAATATTATTACCTCTTGCAGGGTATGGTGGCACGTGCCTGCAATCCTAGCAGTCTGGGAAGCTCCTGGCAGATTTGAGCCCAGCCTAAGCAATTCTAGCGAGACTTCATCTCATACCCACTCCCCAAGATATACAGTAGCTCAGTGAGGAAAGCCCTGGGTCCAATTTCCAATACCGAAAAATAAAATTTCTTCTTGAATTTGTATCGATTAAATAGAACTGTGTATTGAGTCGTTATTATGTAGCTTGGGACATGTTAAGCATTAGATTAACTTCATTCCTTTAAATTTGATCTTTATACCGAAATATGGGAAGGGCTCTGTTTACAAATCGCAGAGCGACTTTTCAAATGGGTTGTAATACTTGACACTGTTGCTTTGTTTCGATATAAAACAGGGTCACTGTCTTTAATTACTCTTCAGTTTTATGAAAGCCTCACCTACGTCCTCTAACAAGCTCTCGGCTGCCTTCGTTTTACATCGCTGTTTCCACCACAAACCGAGTTCTCTCAGGAACCACCGAGCGGCGCTTGAGCGTGCGCCTCGCGAGTTTACTACCGTCTCCTCGCCGCTCAGTCAGGGCGCCAACGCTCAGCCCAATTCTCGCGGGGAGAAACGCGGGTTTTAAACGAGAGCTTCTAATTCCACCCTACTTCCTGTCACATGACTGGCGCCCGCGTCCACGTCTCAAGGTTTTTCCTGGTCGCTGAGCGGCTGTTAACTCGGCTACAGGGTGTCGCGAGGTCCATTCCGGAAGTAGGCGCTTTGACTTTCGCTTCCTCTGCGGAAGCGTGTCACACGACGCTTAGCGGAAGTTCGTCACGTCGCGGTTGCCTCTGCACAGCGGATGTGTCGCCGCTTCGGTGACGCTGAGAAGTGCTTGCAGCCTCTGCCGCTGCCTTTTGGTTGAAGCACTATGGAGGAAGAGAGGAAGAATAACAATAAACGGTGGTATTTTACTCGAGAACAGCTGGAAAATAGCCCATCCCGTCGCTTTGGCCTGGACTCAGATAAAGAACTTTCTTATCGCCAGCAGGCGGCAAATCTACTTCAGGACATGGGACAACGTCTTAACGTGTATCCTTGCGGCCTAGGCTTGGGCCTAGGACTTACCGTGCAACGGCGTCCAGGCCCCAGGCTCTGTCGGGGACAGAAGGGGGTAAGAAGGTGGCAGGAACTGGATTTCTAGGCGGGGAGCCCACGATGGGGCGGGCAGAAAGTGTTCACGCGAGGGATGCGAGGTGGAGCCAGTTTCCCGCTCGCTCACCCGAGCCACCAACCTTGCTGGCAATTCGCATCTTTTTCCGGCTTTGTTTTAGCCAGACCTTCTTAGTCCCTCCTGCTCTAGTGACGTTGAGATTCTCATTTCTGCACTGACCTAGAGGTCTAGTAGAGATTTCACTGTTGACGGTTGCCTCCCAAACTTAAGTGTGTAAAAAGTTTCCGGAAATTCAATGCCACAGTCTTCTGAAGGTGGCCTGGAATTAGTGTCCCAGCTTTGGTTCAAAATATGTTCTTCCCACGTCTACTAAGTGTTTAATAAGACTGTGAAATTCTTGGCCGTCTTGTCTGTAAAGTGGATACCTCTTGCGTTTGATTCTGTGCCCACCACAATGCTTGGCATTCAGACTTCAAATAATAGCCATTATTCGATATCGAATTTCAGAGCAACGAAAAATGCCAGTTTAGTTTCTAGTGCTGTAAACCCATGGATCTAATGTTTAAATAGTTTACAGAACGTTGGGTCTTTATGTTACATCGGTGTGTATTCGTTTTCTTCATAGTTCAAAGATAAGGCAATTTAGCGACTTTTCCCCAAAGTACTTTTGTCCGAGAATATTTTCATTTTGTTGTGGCGTTCTTTTCACAGTGTGTATAAAAAATTTTTGACCTTAGGTTGAGTTTCGGTTTGTTCAGCTTTCATTTAAGTGTCTTGCTGACTGTAATGTGTATATATTAAGGGTGTGCTTGCTTCAAAATAGGTGTCCACTTGCCCTCCCCCTTTTTTTTTGAGACAGGGTCTCACTATGTATTTGAGACTTACCTGGAACTCGTAGCCCAGGCTGGTCTCAACTCACATCAGTCCTCCTGCCTCAGCCTCCCAAGTGCTGGGATTACAGGCGTGGGCCACCCAGCCCCAGCCACTTGCCGTTTTGTTTCCTGTTGATATCTATTTGTTTCCTAAGCATCCAGTCTGTGCTAATTAAACAGTTTTTTTTTTAAGTCTGCTTCAGTGTATCCTTAGTATGCCTTCTTGTTAGTGTGTTATTAACGTGATCCTCAGACAGTGACATCTGTACTAGGTATTATCTCCTGAGGAGCTCCTTGGAAGTAAGGCATTTACAAGTTTTCTTGGGTTTAAGGGTCACTGAACTACCATATTTTTTAAATCTGGGGCTGGAGATAAGGGCACAGATAAGCACAAAGCCCTAGGCTGGGGTTGGGGGCAAATTTTTTTCTTCAATGAGGGAATAGCAAATCATTTCAGAGTTTTTCTGGCTCCAGGGATCATGAGGGTGAGATTGCCAGAGGGAAGTGAAACTAAATTTAATTACTGGAATTTAGAAGATGAGCAAGATAGTGGATATGTGTCTACAGGCCAGATTAGGGACAGCCTTCTAAATCACCTAAGCCCCTAGACTAATGGATCTTCATCATAGGATTTGTAGAAAGCAAGTGACTGAAAGGTTTAAGTTCTTAATGCAGTTTATATTCCATCCTGATTCATACATCCCAAGAATTTTTATTTATTCGGTAAGTTTATACTAAATATTTGTTAATTATACTGCATTATACTGTCAGTTGGCAGTTTAGTGAAAGAAAACAGACTGCTCTTTGACTTGGAGGACATTTAGGACCGTCTACTGTGTTGGGCCTTTGGGCTTTTGGGGAGCAGCTAGAGATTATATTTTGACAGTTATACTGCCTACCTGCCTGTTTTTTGGACCTTAACTAGAACACTTCAGCTCACAATTGACTATCAACACTGCTATAGTATATATGCATCGGTTCTACATGATTCAATCTTTCACACAGTTTCATCGAAATGTAAGTATAATATTTTTGTGTGGTGTAAGCATTTGGTGGTTTATCCCAACTGCCTATTTTGGGGTTGGTCTTTGCTACTTAAATGGGAATTTAACCTTAGAATTTAGGGTTGATCATCTTCATTCTGTGTCACACTACTGTGTTGCGTCTAGCCTTGCAGTTTTCCTGTCTAGTTTTCTGGTAGGGTTAATAATCTGTAGACTAGGTAAATTCGCTAATAAAGTCAACTTTTTTTTGTTTTTGTTGTTGAGTTGGAGGAATAGCATTGAAAGGCAACTCATGCTTAATTCAAGTATAACTTTCCAAGTGGTAAATACTTACATGGTGATATAAAGATGAATATAAGTATTTAGATTTTCCAAAAGTCTTTGATAAATTTGAACTGAATGGTTGGAGGGGAAGGTGTAGTACTTGATGATGTCTTTCAAGGATGGGAAGGAGCTGGGCATGGGGGCACATGTCTAATCCTAGCACTTGGAAAGCTAAGACAGGAGGATCACTTTGAATTTGAGGCCAGCCAGGACTACATAATGAGACCCCAAGTGTTTTGCTGCCTGAAATGGCCCTGTTTAACGTTAATTATAAATAACTTGGAAATGAATTCATAATGATGATTCCAGCATCGGTAAGACCATATTTGTTTTATAAAATACCAAGAAGGTGAGGTTAACCTTGATGACCATCTCATATGGATCAGTGAATCAAATATTTTAGTTATATTTCAAGAAACTTGTTTTAGATTTAGGATAGTAGGTTTTGAGCTCCTTTTTTTAATGCTGTAGGAACAGAATCTGTGAAGTAATGTAAGAAATTGGCAGAATCAGGACTGTGAGGGCCAAGTAACATGGCATACGTTTATTGTCCCACCACAGAGGAAAGCTGAGGCAGGAGGATTGTATGCAAAATTTTTATTTTGTTAATTTACCCTACATAAAGATTTTACTAATATGCATTGTTTCCAGTAATATAGGAGAGAATTCCTTTGTGTATATCCTGACTAACCACAAATACTTATTACTTCAGGAAACATTTATAGCCAGAAGTGGTAGCCAATGCCTGTAATCCTAGCACTCTGGTAGGTTGAGGTAGGAGAATCACAAGTTTGAGGCCAGCCTGGCCAATTTAGTGCGTTCATAAGAGAAACAGCTAGGTATGTAGCTCAGTTTGAAGGCCCTGGTAACCTAGAAATCCCCCCCACAAACACTTATTGAACAAGTTCAGAGGGTTCATTGGTAAACAAGGTAAATGAGGTCTGAAATTACTTTTTTCAGTTAGTGAAATAGAGCTTTTCTTTTATTCATTCTTGTGAAATAGAAGAATGAAAAAAGAAATAGAAGAATAAAAATTGCCTTGTGTATTCACTTTGCTCCTTTTTTATTGTTCTGGTTATCTTATTTATATGAATTCTTTCATGTCTTAGAGCTGTAGGGGTTCTGAGTTTTTTTTTCCCTTTTGCTGTGTTTCTTTGTTTATAGTATTTTGAAGTTTGGAGCCCATGACTTTGTTTTGTTTTTAAAATTTTTTTGTTTGGGCCAGGAATTTAGCTCAGTGGTTCCGCTGCCTTCCTTGCAAGTGCAGTGTCCCAAGTTCAATCCCCAGTACCAAAACAAACAAACAAAGAAATGGTTTTTTTTGTTTGTTTTTTTTGGGGGCGCAGTTTGAGACAGGGTCTTGCTTTGTAACCCAGGCTGGCCTTGAGCTCACAACAGTCCTCTTGCCTCAGCCTCCCAGGTGCTGGGATTACAGACATGCACCACCATGCCCTGCTAAATATTTTTTTATTAAGGTTTGACGGTACAGCACAAAAATCTAAAGCATATACAAATTGAAAATTTTGCACTGTTATATGTATGTAATCACCAGTCAGGTCAAGATAGATTTCTGGTACCCAGTTAGGTAGAGTACCTGCCTTTTTATTTTTTTTGGTACTGGGAATTGTACTAAGGGCCTCATGCTTGTTTGTCGGGCAAGTGTTTGTGCCACTGAGTTATATCCCTGGCCCGAGTACCTGCCTTTTAATTGAAATAAATTATATTTCATTAGTGGACATGGTTAAATGACTAGTTTCTCCTATTTAAATTTAAGAATTGTGGGGCCAGGGATTTAGCTCAGTGGTTCCGCCACCTGCTTCACAAGCGGAAGGACCTGATTTTGATCCCTGTTACCAAAAAAGAAAAAAAATTTTTTTTTTTTTTTAAGGAATTGTGTTCATTCTTTTCAGGAGAAGAGATTTAACCTCTTTTTAATTTTTTTTTTTTTCCTTTTTTTGGTGGTATTGGAGATAGAACCCAGCCTATTTTTAATTTTTTAAATTTTGGAATGGAGGTCTCACTAAGTTGCCCAGTCTGGCCTTGACAGCTTCCCGGAGTTTTGGGTTTACATGTGTATGCTACCATGTTCAGCTTCAGTTGAATTTCTACATGTACTGTCTTAAATGGTTTCAAGTGGGAAAATATGTCAAATTGTGAGCTACTTTGGGTGTTTACATTGTATTTTATATATTTAAAAATTCATGTCCTTAAAAAAATTCACAACCTTGGGGCTTGGAGTGTAGCATAGTGGTAAAACACTTGCTTAGTGTGCTGGAGGCCCTGGGTTAAAAGAATGTCTAGATTTGGAACTTACTACAGTGCTTACTAGCTCTGTAGTCTTGGGAAAATGACCATAAGCTTCATATTTTTCATTGCTATGTTATTAATAGTGTCTGTTTGACATAATAGTTGTTAGGGTTTAAATGAATTAATTTAAAAATGCTTGCCCAAAAAATAATAAATATTAGCTTCTCTCCCCTTTCCATTCTCAGCTCTTTTTGTTTTGTTTTGTTTTGTTTTTTAAGACAGGGTCTCACTATATAGTTGAGACTGACCTGGGACTCACTGTGTAGCCCAGGCTGGTCTCAACTCACAGCAATCCTCCTGCCTCAGCCTCCCGAGTGCTGGGATTACAGGCGTGCACCACCATGCCCTGCTTTTTATTTTTTCTTTTGAGACATGGTCCTGCTAAATTGCCCAGGCTGGGCTTGAACTTGGGATCCTCCTGTCTCAGTCTCCCTGAGTGCTGGGTTTGTAGGCATGCCTAATTTAGCTATTCCTCTTCAAAGCTGGGCATGGTGGAACACAGCCAGCTATAGACTGAGGTAAGAAGATGGCAGGTTCAAGGCCAGCCTGGGCAATCCTGTCTAAATATATGTAGGATTGGGAGCCAGGTGTGGTGTTATATTTGTGTAATTTCAGCACTCAGGAAACTAAAACAGGAGGCTCTTAATTTTAATGCAGCCTGGGCAACTTGATAGGACTTCATAGCAATGCCGTGTTCCAGAACGTGGGTTGGAGGGTGAGCTGGGGATGTGCGAATGTAGCAGGGTCTTGACTGGGTTCAATCTCCAGTATTAAAAAAAAAATCTTAGACAAACGCTACCTTTGTGTGTGTGTGTGTGTGTTTGTAACTTCTACTTTATTCTTATAGCTTTTTACATTTATTAATCTTATTTATTTATTTATTATTTATTTATTTGCTTGCTTGCTTGAGGCAGGGTCTCACTATGTAGTTCAGGCTGGCCTTGAATTCACGCTGTAGCCCAAGTTGGTTTCAAACTCAAAACAATCCTCCTGCTTCAGCCTCCTAGGTGCTGGGATTATAGGCCTGTGCCACCATGCCTGGCTAGGACAAGGTATTTGAATATGGAAAATTTTAAACAATGTTAGAAACATAACATAAGGAAATAGAAGATCTGCCTTACCTTTGATGAGAAAATGATTGATAAGCAAGCTTTATAAAGAATTTCATGAGGTGCATATCCCATTAGATTTTTGTCTAAATACACGCATGTATTTGGTTCTGCCCTATTACGTTTTCAGGTATTGCCTCTGTTCTTCTTTATTTATATTTCAATTGCCTAAACTTTATTTGCTAGTGTTTATTACATTTTTTTAATTAACTTTTGTGGTAGTGCACAATTGTAATCCCAGCTTCTTGCAATGCTGAGGCAGAAGGCTCACATGTTTCACAAAGACCAGCCTGGACTCCATAGTGAGATCTTGTCTCCAAAAACCAAAACCAAAATGAACCTTTATTGTGTCTTAACTTGTCTTCCATCTATTACCTGATTACCTTTCCTAAATACTTTTTTTTTTTTTGAGACAGTGTCTCTATGGAATTCAGGCTGGCCTTGAACTCATTGTGTAGCCCAGGCTGGCCTCAAATTTACAGTGATCCTCCTGCCTGAGCCTCCTGAGTGCTGTCCTGAACACTTCTTAAATTCTCTCTTTTTTTTTTCTTTTTTTTTTTTTTTGTACCGGGGATCAAAATTGGGTCCTTGTGCTTGCAAGGCAGCCCACCGAACCACTGAGCTAAATCTCCAGCCAACACTTCTTAAATTCTCTATTTTTTCTAAAATCTTTAGTGTCATTTTTGTTAAAAATCATTTGTGTCCCACATCCAACAAATGTTCTTCCTGTCTAGATCCCCACACCTTTGTTCATGCGCATTTCTCATTAAAACTGCTTTGTTTATCCTAATGTCTGAGGAAGGTATTTGTAACAAGTTTTATATACAACTGAAACAAATGAGAATGAAAATTGTTACTATGAATTGAATGTGTGGATAAAAATTTAGAAAGGTAACAGCAGAGATACAAATAAATATTAGAATGTTTTCATTTTAGTCAGTAAAGTGAAATAGATATTTAAATTCTGTAAAATTATTTATTGCATTTCATGTACTCCTGATGAATTCTAGGTCTTGCTGTTGTGATTTTTTTTATTCATTTATACATGTATTTGTGTGTGTGTGTGTGTGTGTGTGTGTGTGTGTGTATTTATTTGACAGGGTCTCACTATGTAGTTAGGCTGGCCTTGAACTCACTATGTAGCCTAGCCAGGCCTTTAACTTGCAGTGATCCTACTACATCAGCCTCCTAAGTGCTGGAATTTCAGGTTGCACAATAAGCACATAGGTGTGCACACCTGGCTTAGAAAAGTGTTTGTATCTAGTACCTTCTAGACATAAATGATAGTAGCTTAGATATTTTTTAAGGAGAGTTTGTTGAAGAGTTGATGTGGATTAATGGATAGGAGAGGGGAATATACTGCTGGTAGAGGGAAAAGCATAAATAAGAGGTGAGAAAGTTGGACAAAGAAAGAACGTGATTTATTTGAGACTGAGATCCTCAAACACTTATCTTTTTCTATCCAGTCTGTGGCTCCAGCAGCCTTGTTTCTAGCTGCTAAAGTGGAAGAACAGCCAAAAAAATTGGAACATGTCATCAAAGTAGCACATGCTTGTCTTCATCCACAGGAATCACTTCCTGATACCAGGAGTGAGGTAGGCAATTAATTACAAATCTGCTTGTTTTTAATTGAAACTTAATTTTATGATTTTGATTTACTAAAGCTTGATTGTAGGCTGTTCAGGGCAATTTAGTTTTTTTAACAAAAAATTTAAGTTTTATGGAGAAATTTTTTTGAATAAAATTGAAAGATGCAGAAAAGCAAAAAGGAACAGAAACAATCTGATAGAAGATGACATAGGTAAAACTGTTTAAGAGGTAGGTATAGGCAAAAGCTTTCTGAACAGAACCCTGGTTGTACAAGAAATAATACCAAGAATCAGCAAATGGGATCCCATCAAATAAAAAGCTGCACAGCAAAGGAAACCACTAACAGAGAGAAGAGACAGCCTATAGAATGGGACTCTTCAGATAAAGGACTAATTTGTGGAACATCCAAAGAACTCAAAAAAATCAGGCCCCTGCCCCCAAACTTAAGACTCAATAAAAAAAATGAGCATCTGAAATGAATAGATACTTCTCAGATGAAGAAGTACAAATGGCCAATAAATACTTGAAAAAAATGCCCAACATCGCCAGCCATTTGAGAAATACAAATTAAAACAACGCAGATTCAGTCTCATTCCAGAAAGAATGGCTACCATCAAGAAATCCACCAGTATCAAATGATGGAGAGACTTCGGGGCGAAAGAAACCTTTCTGTATTGTAGGTTGGAATATAAATTGGTACAACATGGAAGTCATTATGGAGAGTCCTCAAAAAATTAAAATTGAAATTCCCTTTAACCCAGCTATTTCTCTTCTGGGTGTCTTTCTAAAAGAGTTAAAAACATAGTTCCACAGTGATATGTGCATACCCATATTTATAGCAGCTCAATTCATAATAGCTAAATCTTGGAAGCAGCTTATATGTCCATCAACAAATGAATGGAAGAAGAAAATGTATTTATATACAATGGAGTAGTACTGTACCGTAAAGAAAGATAAACTTGAGTCATTTGTAGAAAAATGGATGCACCTTGAGACCATAATGTAAAATGAAGGAAAGTAGACACACATTCTTAAATATTGCATGGTTTCTCTTATATAAGAAACCCAATGTAGGGCTGGAATTTAGCAAAGTGGCACCGTGCCTGCCTTGCAAGCACAAGGTCCTGAGTTCGATCCTTAGAACTACAAGAAAAAAAAACCCAATGTATAAATAAAGTGCAAAATGTCTAAAAGTGTACCTCAATTTAGTATAATTGGTGTGTTTTATGTTTTTTGGCTATTACTCTGTTAATCTATAAGAATAATTAACTTTATAAGGACTTATAAATAAATGAATTTGATGCTGGCAAAAATTTTTTTTATAAGGGTGTGGCTGGGGCCAGGGATTTAGCTCAGTGGTTCTGCTGCCTGTCTTGCAAGCATAAGGACCTGAGTTCGATCCCAGGTACCAAAAAAAAGGGGGGAGGATGGGAAGGGAGAAAACAATTGAGATATGTTATGAACATGTACCAATTCTCCACAATGAATATAATCATCATGCACTGCAAGAAGGTAGTAAGAAGCTGGGCGTGGTGGCGCACGCCTGTAATCCCAGCACTCGGGAGGCTGAGGCAGGAGGATCGCTGGGAGTTGGAGACAGCCTGGGCTACGTAGTGCGTTCCAGGTCAGACTGGTCTCATAGTGAGACCCGGTCTCAAAATACCAAAAAAAAAAAAAAAAAAAAAAAAAAAGCACTAAGTTCAATCCTCAGTCCCCTCCACTCCACAAAGAGAATGTACCAAGAAGCTGGATGTGATGGCGCATGCCTATAACCCAGCATTCAGGAGGCAGAGGCAGAGACGGGGATCGCTGTGTATTTGAGGACAGCCTAGGCTACATAGTGAGACAGCCTGAGCTACAAAGGGAGACCCTGCCTCAAAAAAAAAAAAAAAAAGTACTAAGAAATAAGAATACAGAAAAAAATATTACATAGATACATATTGGACCATTGAAGCTCAGATATATATAAATGAAACATTATCATTCTAGCTACTTTTTTCTAAACAACTATGCTTGCGTGCATTTCATTATTTCGACTTACTATGTCCATACTATTTCCCAGTCTTGATGTTTTATAAATATTTAGGTATTCATTTACATGTATGTATATTTTTATAACCATTCTCTATATAGTAAAGAAGTGTACATAAACTGGGCATAGTGGCACATCCCTGTAGTCCCAGCAGTCTGGGAGGGTTACACACAAGAATCCCAAGTTCTAGCCCAGCCTGTCTCAAAAAAAATAGGGCTGGAGGGCCAGAGATTTAGTTCAATGGCAGTGCACCTGCCTTGCAGGTGCAATGTCCTGAGTTTAATCTCTGGTACCAAAAACAAAAAAAAAAAATAGGGCTAGGAATGTATTTAGTGGGAAAGTCTCAAGATAATCCCTAACAACATACACACACACACACACACACACACACACATATAATTTCTTATTGAATGTTATAAAAGGCATTCTTATAAATTTTGTCAATGGAGATTAAATAAAATTTTTTTAAAATTCCATTTCCTGTCGGGCATGGTGGTTGCACGCCTGTAATCCCAGCACTCGGGAGGCTGAGGCAGGAAGATCTGTGAGTTCGAGACCAACCTGGGCTACACTGTGAGTTCCAGGGCAGTCTGAACTACATAGATCCTGTCTCAAAAAACAAACAAAAAAATTCCATTTCCCTTTCTCCTAGCAGGATATTGTTGATTATAACAACATATATATTTTTCTAGACTTTTGTCCTATGCTAAAGGAGAGAAACACCTGGTCTTAGAAGTTGATTGGATAGTGTTGAGTTAAGGGATCTGAAAGGCCTACCTGTACCCCCTCATACTGGGCTATGAACCCAGGGCCTTTGCACTGAGCTACATCCCAAGCCCATTTTTTATTTTAAGACTAAGTTTCCACATTGGGCTTGAATTTGTAATCTTCCTACTGCAGCCTTTCAAAGTACTAGGATTATAGGTGTGAATGAGCTACCACCTAAGTCTTTAGCAGTAGATTCATGGGTCATTGTTTATAAAATAGATAAATGTTATTATGTATTTTCTGAACATAGGAGAAAGCTTTTTGCGGGGTGGATTTTAGTAATAATTCTTAATTATGTTTTGCATAGCAGTGTCTTCTCTTTCATTCCTTTTTTATTTTAAACCACTGATAGCTCTTAGTGAAAAGATTGCTCTGGACTTCTATTTTATTATTATTATTATTATTTGGGGGGGTGGGTACCAGGGATTGAATTTAGGACCTTGCGCTTGCAAGACAGGTGTGGGGTCACTGAGCTAAATCCCTGGCCCTTTTTGGGGTTTTTTTGTTTGTTTGTTTTTGTTTTTGGTACTGGGGTTCAAACTTGGGACCTTGAACTTGCTAGGCAGGCTGTAGAACCACTGAGCTAAATTCCCGGCCCTATGGTTCTTTTTGAGACAGGGTCTTACTGTGTAATTCAGGCTGTTCTAGAACTGATTATGTGATCTGGGTTGGTCTGGAACTTGCACTTGTCCTATTTCAGCCTCCTAAGGTCTGGGTTTACAGGAATGAGGTACCATACTCAGATTGAGTATGTGAATGTTTGAGTATGTGTGTCTTTGTGTGGTATTGGAGATTAAACCCGTAGCCTTATACATGCTAGATTAGTGCTCTGTCTTGGCACTATATCCCAATGCCTTTTTATTTTGAGACGGGGATCTCATTAAATTATGCAGGCTGGCCTTGAATTTGCAATTTCCTGACTCAGCCTCCTGAGTAGCTGGGAATTACTAGCATGTGCACTGTGCCTATCTTAGTTATGTTTGAGACTCATAAATGCAACTGGTCCATTTGCAACTGGTCCATAGAATGGAGTTAGCAAAATAAAACAAAAGCAAGGTAACCCCCACTTTTTTTTTCCTTCTCTAAAGCATATTTATGTAATTTATTATCTGAATCTCAGCACTGTCAAAAACAACTCATTTTTTTAACTTGTAGTTTGAGCACTTTGAAGGCTGAGACAGGAGGATCAGAAGTTTGAGGCCAGTTGGAGCTACATAGTGAAGTTAAGGATAGCCTGAGATGCGCAGAGATCCTTGTTGAAAAGGAAAAAAAAATTCTCATTTTTAAAATTTAGTGTTTTGTGTTTGATTTATTTATTTATTTTGAGACAGGGTCTTACTATGTATTTCAATCTGACCTTGAACTCTGTAGCCTAGGCTGACGTTAAACTCATGGGATCCTTCTGCCTCAGCTTTACACATGCTGGGATTATAGGCATATGTCACCATGCCCAGCTATTCCTCCTTTTTAAGAGGAAATTAATTTTAATTATGTATTTTATGTAACTCAGTATATCTAAAATATTGTCATTTAGCATTTAATTAATATTTTAAAGCTATTAATGAGGTATTTTGCATTTTTAACATAGTCTTTAAATGCTAGTACTTAAAAAAACTGCTTATTTTACAATTTAGACTAGGTGTGCTTCACATATGGCTAGGGCAGTGATGATGAACCTTTTAGAGCTTTTAGATACAGCCCACTGTGGCATGTGTGCTGTAGATTCACTACTACTGAGTTAGGACCTTTACTTTGGGCTTACACCGATCTGAATTTTTTTGTTTATTTTCTTTTCCTTTGTATTACTGTATTTTTAAAAAGTCTATTGATAGGTTAAAAAGAGCCGAAAACCAGGACCAGACCAGGACCATAACAAGCCTTTCTAACAAATAGGGAGGGGTCAACTATTTGTTATCAAATGCTTTTAATACTTCAGGAAAGGTTTTGCATATGTATTTCTCTGTTGTTGGAAAAAGTCTCGTTAATTTCCTGTGTCTAAATCATGGGAATTTTAAAACATAAAATATCAATAAATATGAAAGTGAAGTATTTGGTTCTTTTTTGGTAGCCATATAAGAATAAAATGTTATTTCTGAGTTACATTTTTTTTTAAATAAAGGAAAAGTCTATGCTCAGAGTTAGAAATAAGGCTTATATTTCATTTTCTGCTCCATCTCCTACTCCATTTTTGCCTTTTATTGTTTTGGCTTCCCTGTGAGAGGTTGTTAGAATTTGTCACTTTTTTTTTTTGCTAGGCAAGTATCCTGCCACTGAACTATATTCCCGGCCCTTGTTTATATTTTATATTTTCCCTGAAAATAAGACCAGGTCTTATATTAATATTTGCTTCAAGCTGGGTATGATAGTGCACACCTGTAATTCTAGCATTTAGGAGGCTGAATAGGAAGATTGCCAGAAGTTCAAGGCCAGCCTATCCTACAAAGTGAGAGACCCAGTCTCAAAAAATCCGAATATATTTTTTTCTCCAAAAAATGCTATTTTCAGGGAATGTCTTACTTTTTTCATTTACAACAATCTACACTTATTCAAACACAGTCATGCCATCTTCATGGCATGACTTATTCTACACAGTCATGCTAGGGATATAATCATAGCTTTTTCAAACCTTGAATTCTGTCCAAATTTCTTGTGATTCTATTTCCTGTGAAACCATTGGTGTCCAGTCTCTGATGTCCAAAAGTAGAACTGTCCTTAAATGAGTGCTTCTTGTCCTGTACATAGTGCATCGACATATTGAATTATGAAACTTCATATTAGACACCAACCACATCTGTTCGTTATCAAGTGCACATGTTATTTGTGTGTTATGTTTGTACTAAACTGGTCATTTGGCAGTAAGTGTTGAGTTCATCTGTTTACATAGGTGTTTACCTCTCCAAAGGTGTCTACTTGGGTATTTACAAATAGTTAACTACAATTTATATTATCATTTATTTTAAGTATTAATGCCAAAATAGTATATATTTAATTATACTTTATTTTATAATTCATTATTCTGTTGTATGTTGCAACAGAGGTACTAAATGCATTTTTCTGGCTGACAGTGGGGCTTAGTTTTGGGGTAGGGCTTATGAGCTTCCTGAAAAATCATGCTAGGGCTTATTTTCTGTGTAGGTATTTTTTGGGGAATGTGCTGTTACGCTTTTTTAGCAGATTTTTTTCTGTCTTGCCTACAGGCTTACCTGCAGCAAGTTCAAGATCTGGTGATTTTAGAAAGCATAATATTGCAGACTTTGGGTAAGTTTATCTGTTTTAAAGCATTAAACATTTATACACACACACATATAATATAATGGTTTGATTTTAAAACTGGCAAAACAAATAGGAAGAAAATCCCTTAGGAACATTTTTGCATAGTGTCAATCTGTTTCTAGATTAGAGTTTGTGGGGGTCAGAGTTTAACTTTGGCTTATACCACAGAGAGGATGTAGGTGTAGTTGTCTTTTGAAAAATTAGTTAGCAAGGCTTTTTGTTTTTGATTTTCCGTTCTATGGTTTATGATTTTTACCTTTTTTGAGATTGGACAATTTTTAACCTGATAAATAATAGCAAAACTATCTAAAAAGGCATTTCTTTCCATGGGTTGCTCTGCTCTGTTAGTCACTGTATGAGATAACAACACTTGCCTTTAAAATTGCTAAGCATTGTTTGGTTAGCATAGCAGAGGGGAAGTGGAGGAACTCAAGCTATAGTGGTTGCATGGGCAACGCTAATAATCCATAACAAGTATGAAAATAGGATTTTGTTTGTTAATCTTTTTTGGGTTTTTGAGATAGGTTCTCGCTATGTAGTTTAGACTGTCCATGAACTCACTCTGTGACCCAGACTGCCCTTAAATTTGTGCCTCAGTTCCTGAGTGCTGGGATTATATAGGCCTATACCACAACACTTGACTTACTAGGTCAAGGTCCCCCCCCATACTGGGGATTGACCTCAGATCCTTGTGCTTGCAAGGCAGGCCACCGAACCGCTGAGCTAAATCCCCGGCCCAGTAGGTCAAGTTTTAGAAGGTAGTGATCATTTGAGTGACTTGTTTCTTCCAACCATGTATTATGTTCCGTTGTACCTAAAAACAGTGTTGTTTTTTTTGTTTTGTTTTTGAGACAGGGTCTCACTGTGTAGTTGAGACTGACCTGGCACTCACTATGTAGCCCAGGCTGGTCTGGTACAGTGATCCTCCTGCCTCAGCCTCCTGAGTGCTGGGATTATAGGCGTGCACCACTATGCCTGGCTCAAAAAAAGTGTTTTATGTTTATAGGTTTTTGGTTTGTCAGTGGTTTTCAGGTCTTATTCATACCCTTTAGCTTAGATCACCTTTGGAGATAGTATACCTTCAAGGGAAATATGCTGCATACTTTGTGTTAGCTTTTGCACAGCAATTCTGGGAGAGAAATAAGGGAGGCCTATAATGATGACTGAGATAAAAGAAATACAAAATATATTGAGTATTTTTAGTTTTTTTTTTTGATTGGTTAATCTTTTCTTAAAGGATTTGAACTAACAATTGATCACCCACATACACATGTGGTAAAGTGCACCCAACTTGTTCGAGGTAAGTTATCCCAACTTGAAATGATTGTCTTAAATTGTTTTATCATTCAGAAGCTCTAGTTTGCTGTGTAAAATACATAACACAGCTGCTTGGGTCAAAAGTTGAATTGAAATGCCCAGTTGTCTTAAATCACAATGCTTGGTTCTGGCTTGGAGTTGTTCTATTGGGGTTCTTAATCATTAATATTTTTAGATGATTTCTAGAATTTTAAAGAGAGTTACCTTTTGAGGATGTTTGAAAAGTCACCAGGTGATAGTTTTAAGCAAGTCTTGGGAGTGACCTTATTTTAATCGTAAGGTTGATTACAGGCCTTCTAGATAATCTTTTTTTTTGTTTTTGTTTCACTGCAGATTGAATATAGGGTTTTTATACTAAGCTATATCCCTAGGGGTTTTTTTTGTTTATTTGTTTTGTTTTTTTGAGACAGTCTCACTGAGTTGCCCATCAGGCCACTCAATTAAAATCTCCTTTTTGCTTTTTGTTTTTGAGACAAGATGTTGCTATGTAATTCAGGCTGGCCTCAAACTCCTGGTGATCCACCTGCCTCAGCCTCCTGAATGCTGGGACTACAGGTGTGTGTCACCACGCCCAGCTAGATTATGATTTTGCCTTCAGAGAATTTTGAGTTCAAATTTTAGGCCAACCTGGCAACATAGTAAAATCTTATCTCAAAAAAATGTTTGTGCTTGCCCTGGGGATATAACTCAGTGGTAATGCTTGCCTAGCAGTCTTGAAGCCCTGGATTTGATCCTTAGCATCACCAAAAAACAAAACAAAACCTGGGTGCTTCTCCAAGCACACTAAATCAAACTCTGGAGAGCAGGCCCAGGAATTGCATTTTAAACAAGAACCTCCAGTCCTTGGTTTGCAGAAGAAAATATGAGTCTCTTGAGTCTGGAAGCAGTATAATTACTAACATTAATTATAGAAATCATAAGGGACTGAGAGTGTAATAGCTCAGTGGTAGAGCATGTGTTTAGCATGTTGGGTTTCTAGGGTCAATCCTCAGCTCCCCAAAAAGATTATTTTGGTAGAATGTAAACATCAGGTGATTGGGCATCATTACTGCCTCATTTACTAGTAGCAGTACTTTGCAAATAATAAATGTTTACTGGCCTGGGGATTTAGCTCAGTGATTCCGCCGCCTGTCTTGCAAGCACAAGGTCCTGTGTTCAATCTCCGGTACAAAAATAAATGAATGAATGAATAAATGAATGTTTACTAAATATTTCTTGGGAATGAATAGAACTAACCTTTTTCTTTTTCTTTTTTTTTAGCAAGCAAGGACTTAGCACAGACGTCTTATTTCATGGCAACCAACAGGTTTATATTTTATTTATGTATTTATTGTCTCTAAGGATTAACTTTAGTGAGTTGGCATAGTATCTTTTCTGGGATATATAGAATAACTAAGTAAACTAGAATCCAAAGGTCCAGGCATGGAAATAATCTTTACTATAGTATGTTACAGTCCTCCGGTGAATGTTGATATTTTTTTTTTCCCTATACAATTTTTATCTTGTACCTTAATTTTACTGGTGCTTTTTTGGTGTTTTTTCTTTTCTTTTTTTTTTTTTTCCTGGTACTGGGGATTGAACTCAAGACCTTCTGCTTGCCAGGCAAGTGTAGCGCCACTAAGCTACATCCTGACCTCCTGATGCCTTTTAATTTGCTATGGTGATATAATTAGTACTATATATATTTGGTAATTGATAGTCCATCCAATTTTGTGTGTTACTTTTTTGCTTTAAAATATCCAAGAGCCGGGGATTTAGCTCAGTGGTTAAGCTGCCTGCTTTGCAAGCGCAAGGTCCCAAGTTTGATCCCTGGTACCAAAAAAAAACAAAACAACCCAAGAACACAGTTCTGAAAGTTTGTGTAAATTTAGGGCTTATTTATAGTGACAAAAAAAAAAAAAAATCTAACTTGGAGGATTTTGCAATAATTATATTTTAAAGACTTTTTTCTTCCCTTGTGTCCAAACAGATGGTCACTTATGGGTATGAAGAGTTGTAATCTTTTCCTTTTTAGAAAAAATAATTAGCACATAAACTTGTAGTATCAAATGACTTGCTTTCATCTTTGTTCTCCAATATAGTTTGTTTATAGAAACCAAAGATAACTGTAATACCTTTCAGGGCTAAGAAGTTCAGTTGTATAACCTGACATGAGAAATCTTTCAATAAACCACCTATCAAACATATTTGCATTTGAAAGAGTGATTGTTCATTATATTGAATAGATCAGAATTGTGATTGGCAAAAGACAATTTTTAGGATATTTCCTTAAGCATTGATTTAGTGATTAAAAACAAAACAAATTATGCGGTTTTCTTCATTCTAAGCTTATTTTTGTGATATTAGGTAATAAACACTGACTGCTAGGCTTGGATACTGGTCTAGAAGTCAAAAATAAATTTTTTTTGGAGGGTTCCTTATTCATTGTGTATATTGAATGATACAGTCAGGAAATTTAAAAATGCTATCCTGAGCAGTGGGTTAATAGGAAAATGGTTATATTGAGTGTGGAATCAGAGAAGGATGGTTCTTGCTCTTCTTGCTCTCCTTTATTTATTTTTATTTATTTTTTTTTTAAATAATGGAGAGTTATAGCTTTGGGTTGAGAACTGAGAGCTCATGACACTCTGTTTCCCTCCCTCTGGTGTCAGCCTGCATTTGACCACATTTAGCCTGCAGTACACACCTCCTGTAGTGGCCTGTGTCTGCATCCATCTGGCTTGCAAGTGGTCCAACTGGGAGATCCCAGTCTCAACTGATGGAAAGCACTGGTGGGAATATGTTGACGCCACTGTGACCTTGGAACTTTTAGATGGTAAGTTTTAGAGTAAGGGACATTGAAAAACACTTGCTCTTCATCTGTCACTTACCTGCCCAAAAGTGACTTTAGTTGAAAATAGTGAGTTAGTTGAGGTTATTCTTGTTTCATTATCTCTATCTCTCAGTATTTCTTGAATGTTTTATTTTCAGAACTGACACATGAATTTCTACAGATTCTAGAGAAGACTCCCAACAGGCTCAAACGCATCTGGAATTGGAGGGTAAGAATTATGCCATCAGCTTGCTCCTTCCTTTGATTGTACCAGTGAATATACCAGAATAGGGATAGATACCTTAGATTTGAGATTTCTCTTTTCACAGTTACACAATAATCATGACTTGACCTCACAGCTTGGATACTGCTCCAGAAGTCAGTGCTTGTGGGGGATAGCAGGCTTTGCTTTGTGTTGTGGAATGCCTATGATATGATTATTTGGTCAGCAATGTTGCTTGAATATTTTCTGTGTAGAGACTATTGAGAATAAAACAAGAATATTGGCTCGTTAAGAGATAGGGTCTTGGGCTGGAGATTTAGCTCAGCAACACTGAACCTGAGTTCAATCCCTGGTACCAAAAAAAAAAATAGAGAGAGACACTTACCTATATGGTCTAGGTTGACCTTGAACTCACTATGTAGCCCATACTAGCCTTGAACTTAACCATCCTTCTGCCTCTGCTTCCTGAGTGTTATGAGTACAAGCATGTGCCGCCATGTGTGGCACAATTTTATTATCTTTGACATTACCTACTTTAAAAATGAGTTTTAGGACTGGGGATTTAGCTCAGTGGTTCTGCTGCCTACCTCGCAAGTGCAAGGTCCTGAGTTTGATCCCCAGTACCAAAAAAAAAAGATTTTTAGAATTTTGTTTTTATACAGTTTGTACTCTCCATTATTTCTCCAGTTTATACTCTCCATTTTTTTAAAATAACAATTTGTATTTTGATTTTTTTTTTTTTTGAAACAGGGTCTCACTGTATAGTTCAGGCTGACCTAGAAGATCCTCCTGCCTGTCATCCTTCCGAGTGCTGGGGTTATAGATATGCACCACCGTGCTCAGCTATATTCCAAATATATTTGAAAGTCTTATTTATTTTGGGTTTTTTAAAAAAAACATTTAAACAAATTTTATTTTATCCCGTTACCCCCGTCAAGCCCCCTGAAAGTCTTAGGAATAACAGAATGATTCCTTATGTTTTTTTCCAGTATTAGATTGTTGAAAAATATTTCCTGATTGGTGTGGTGGCACACACCTATAATCCCAGCACTCTGGAAGGCTGAGGCAGGAGGATTACAAATTCAAGCTCAGTTGAAGCAATTTAGGGGCTTAGCAAAATCTTGTCTCAAAATTAAAAATAATGAAATAATTACATAGGGGAAATATTTCAGTGCCAAGGTGCTAGGTTTTACCGCCAATACCACAAAAATAAATACATTAGAAAAATTCCCTTGGGACTGAGAGTGTAGCCTAATAGAAAAGCATATACTTAGCCTGCTCAGTTTCCTCCCGTTTTGCTGGGCATGATTGTACACACATGCTTGAGGCTGAGGCAAGAGGATTACTGTGAGTTCCAGGCCAGCTTGGGCTACCTAGTGATTTCAGGGCCAGCCCAAACTAAATAGTAAGACCCTATCTAAAAAAAAAACAAAAAAAAAACAAGTGAGCCGGACGCGGTGGTGCAGGCCTGTAATCCCAGCACTCTGAAGGCTGAAGCAGGAGGATTGCTGTGAGTTCGAGACCAGCCTGGGCTACATAGTGAGTTCCAGGTCAGTCTCAACTACATAGTGAGACCCTGTCTCAAAAAACAAAAAAACAAAACAAAACAAAACAAAAACAAAAAAAGAAGTAGACTTGAGAGAACGAACTTCATGTTTCACTTTCACATAAATCCTCACCAAAATTTGTAGACTTTTACAATGTATTACAGTCATAAGCAGTCAATGTTTATGAATGATTTTTAGATAAGCTCAAATTCTTTTTTTGGTTGCTTTTGCCTTGTAACAATGTAGTTTGCTATGACTCTTGAGGGACAGTTTTAAAATTGTACTTCTCCTGAAGCCAGTGTTTATTGGCTCTCATGTTTGGGTAACCTTTCTTGAACTTCAGTGCAAGTACAATCTACTTATCTTAATGTATTTGCATTTAATAAGTCACCTGAAGAGATATTATTTGCTTTGTTCTAGGCATGCCAGCCTGCTAAGAAAACAAAAGCAGATGACCGGGGAGCAGATGAAAATACTTCAGAGCAGACTATTCTCAATATGATTTCCCAGAGCTCTTCAGACTCAACTATTGCAGGTTTAATGAGCATGTCAACTACTTCTACTACGAGTGCAGTGCCTTCCCTTCCAGTCTCTGGAGAGTCATCAAGCAACTTATCCAGTGTGGAGATGTTGCAGGGCGAGCGTTGGCTGTCCTCCCAACCTCCTTTTAAACTAGAACCCGCTCAGGGTCATCGGACTAGTGAGAATTTAGCACTTATGGGGATGGATCATTCCTTGAAACAAGATGGCTCAAATGCATTTATTTCCCAGAAGCAGAGTAGTAAGAGTGTGCCATCAGCTAAAGTATCATTGAAAGAATACCGTGCAAAGCACGCAGAAGAGCTGGCTGCCCAGAAGAGGCAACTGGAAAACATGGAAGCTAATGTAAAGTCACAGTATGCATATGCTGCCCAGAATCTTCTGTCTCACCATGATAGCCATTCTTCAGTCATTCTTAAAATGCCCATAAAGGGTACAGAACACCCTGAACATCCTTTTCTGGAAAAGACTGACAAAACAGCTCTCAAAATGAGACTCCCAGTGGCTGGTGGGGATAAAACTGCCTCTTCAAAACCAGAGGAGATAAAAATGCGCATTAAGGTCCACGCTTCAGCTGATAAGCACAATTCTGTAGAGGACAGTGTCGCAAAAAGCAGAGAGCACAAAGAAAAGCACAAGATTCACCCATCTAATCATCATCATCACCATAATCACCATTCACACAAGCACTCTCACTCACAGCTTCCAGCTGGTACTGGGAACAAACGTCCAGGTGATCCAAAACATAGCAGCAGCCAGGCGAGCACCTTAGCACACAAAACCTATAGCTTGTCTAGTTCTTTCTCTTCCTCCAGTTCTGCTCGTAAAAGGGGCCCCCCGGAAGAGACTGGAGGGGCAGTATTTGATCATCCAGCCAAGATTGCCAAGAGTACTAAAACCTCTTTAAATTACTCTTTCCCTCCTCTTCCTACAATGGCCCAGTTGCCTGGGCATAGCTCAGACACAAGTGGCCTTCCCTTTTCGCAGCCCAGCTGTAAAACTCGGGTTTCTCACATGAAACTGGATAAAGGCCCCACTGGGGCCAATGGTCACAACACAGCTCAGTCTATAGACTATCAAGATACTGTGAATATGCTTCACTCCCTGCTCAGTGCCCAAGGTGTCCAGCCCACTCAGCCCCCTGCATTTGAATTTGTTCACTCATACAGTGAGTATCTGAATCCACGGGCTAGTGGAATCTCCTCCAGATCTGGCAATACAGACAAACCCCGGCCACCACCTCTACCATCAGAACCTCCTCCACCACTTCCACCTCTTCCTAAGTAGAAAAGAAAAAGAAGAGGAGAAAAAAATTTCTCTAAAAACCACATTTTTTTCCGACTACTGATAGTGGACTAGAATTGCTTCCCTTATGAAATACATCACCCTTCTTGGACTAGAAAATAAATTGATACTGAAACATAGGTGGGAGGGTGGTGGAGGGCCTTGGTTATTATGTGCTGCCTCATACATTTAACTATTTTATTATAGTTTTTACTGGCATTAGAAGGGTGGGAATGTGTTGAAACTGTGAAGGATTAAGAATACTTTCTCTATTCTTGGCCTTTCCACCTCCTAATTAGGTTGATTGGAATAGTTACCTTCCCTCTTCTTGCAAGAACTGAAACATGGGGGTTTATCAAAAATTGTGGATTCTTTTGATGTTTAATATATCAGAAGAGAGGAAGTATTTAAACGTCCAAATCTTTTAAGAGACTTTAACAAAATAATTTAATGAAAGTAAGTTATCTGTTTAGTTTTTTTTATATAATTGGGAAGGGTATAGGGATTTTGCTGTGTGTATGAGGTACATAGCAGTGACTCCTGGTGGGTGGGATGGAGGGTGGGAATATGTGCAGGGTGGGTGGGAGGGAGGGTAGGCTTTTGGCCAAGAGTTGTGAAGTAGGCTCAGGCCACTTGAAGTGTTGAGACCTTTAAGTGTGGATGTAAGTGTGGATGTGTTTTTAATAGTATATGTTTAAAAATCATGTTTTATCCCCCACCCCCACTTCATCCTTTACCATTTTCATTTTACAACAGCCTGCTAGTGAGAATATGGTTGGTCTTGAGAACGTGAAGGAAGAGGCATGTATTTGACATGGAGATTTCCTCTTTGTATATGTAATTGAATGATAGCTGTCTTAATTTTTAGTTTGGACAGGTGCAGCCAATGACCGACTATTAACTCCACTATGAAAACTGCCTTTTTACCCTTTTTAATTTTAGTGCAGGAGGGAGGTGGAGTTGGGGAAGAAGAGTTAAAAGAACAAGGTCAGCTTCTGCCCTTCAGAATTGTGTGCATCTTTTCTAGTTAGGCTTTGGGAAAGTGTTCAAATGTGGTCCTGGGTCTTTGAAGGGAAGGAGGGTGTGCTATGTGTCCTGCCTATGAAAGCCCATACCATACATTACAGTAGTTCTGGGAGAAGCCAAGGAGCTAGAGGATACTGAAAACAATGAAATTATGATTTGAAATTCTTAGGACATAGTATTTTAAATTACATTATGAATGTAAGCCTTGCTTTTTTTAAATATATCTGAAGGCAAACAACTATGTCTTTAAGTGTTTATGGCTTATATGACTTCAGAGATCTGAGCTCCTGAATTTAAGAGTACTGGTGCTGGTAGTGATCAAGCCTAGCCAACAGATACTGCTATGTTTAGATTGTCCTCCACTGGTGGCTTTAGGGTCTGAACAGAGATTCTTAAGGAGATTGCTAAGAATTCTTTAAAAAAAAAAAAATGGTCAGGAGTCCTGTTATGGGAGCTTATCCCAGACATTAGGAGTAAACATTTTTAATGAGGAAGGAAAACTTTCAAGAAATCTTGGTGAGAATTCTAAACCAAGTTGACAGATAATGCCACCTAACCACAGATCACTTGATGTGTTCTCTGTGAGTGTGTGAGTGTGTGTGTGTGTGTGTGTGCGCGTGCACACGTGCCTGCTTGTGCACTGTGGAAAAAATAGTGCAATTTGAGTTTGTCTTGTTTTTAATGCAGCTTCCATCATGCCAAATAGTCTTTAGGGAGAAGTTGAATTCTTTTCATTGGAAATTCTAGGGAGAAAGTACTTGTGCTGCTGCTTTCCAGGAACAGTTTTGAGGAAGAAAACTGAGGCAGTTACTGTTAATGATGTATTGACCTAATATAGGAAGGAATTTGTAGAAAAGAACTAAACTTTAACTGAAGGTGAGCTAATGCACTGCCTCTTTGCATATTTGGGGTATATGAAATGCCTGCTGTTGCCGGGTAAAATAAGAGGCTCTCTGCTGACCAATAAATCTGTGATACATCTTGAATGTCATTTAACTTTTATAGATGACATTCCCCTCTTCTTGATAGTTTGTGTTTTGTGCCAGCTAATTGGTGGATGTGTGGTTGTGTTTATTAAATTTAGGCTTTGTATTTGTTTAGATTTTGTCTGATAGAGCCTGTTTCCCATACTTCGTCCCCAAAAGAGAATATGACATTTTGTTTGCATTTATACCTTTGTGTAATTGATGATCACTGGTTTGATTGTGAAGATGTCTCCTACTTTTAATTACTCTCATCAATGTCACATATTTTCTAATCACATGCACTTATAGCACAAAGGCACATAGTCACTTGATGTCATAGCAGCTCTCCATGTTCTTCCTTAGAATTTGTCAGGAATGAATGAGGAAAAAATGTTTACTGAAAACAGTATGTAGCCTAAACAGCTGCTTTATGATGTGAGTCTGGCCTTTGCACTAGTTGATCATTGTTGAGGACCTGTGCATGTCATGAACCTCCTTACGCATTCTGCCTGAGCTGCTGCGTTCATTATCTTCGGATTAGCAAATGTATCTGTCAGCCACCACGTGTCATGTCCAAATTCTATAAACTTAATAAGATTTCTGAGGGTTGTGTGATTTCTAAGTTGTGTCCTTCCTACCTTCAAGGGTAACAAATGGGGTTTATATATACAAAGTTAGTCCAATGAAGATGGCTTTTTTTCTTTTAATTTTGTCAAGGATGAGTGATGATTGTAAGTTTTGTAAATTTCATTCCTCAAATTTTGCTTGACTCTTACGTTGGCAGAAACAAATACCTGTGGATTATCCTTACGGCTTTTAATCAGATACCTGTGTTGCTGTTGGCTGAGCTCTAGAGAAGCACTAATGTAAATCCAATGTGATTTTTTGAGGTATCAGTTATACTTTTTGGCTTTACAAAATGCTTCGGTATTAGTCTAGTCTTCTCACTCATGAATCAATGTATTTCCATATCTTTTAAATGATTTTAGTGTTTTGATTTAGTGTCCTGCGTAGTTCTATATTGGCTGAACTGGTGTTGACAAAAAATTTAGGATCTCCAGTTTCAAACAGCAGTGGATTTGGATATAGAAATAAAATCATGGTAATAATCCTGCTGGGTTTCTTTAAGCCTCTGCTACCTAATTCTTCATAGTGAAAATGCATACACCACTCATACCTTGCTTATGGAGAAAGACAATTTGAGGGGCCCTATCCTAGTGTGGTTGGATTTTAAACATTTGTTTCCTTTGTTTTGGGAACTATTTTTAGAAAATATTTTGTTGATGAATTATTTTGGTACTAATGCTAGGAAAGAGGAGAAGCTAGAACATCTTGAAGTTGGAATACAAATTTTAGTCTCAAGTTAGGGACGATTTAAGTGGTCTGTGAAATCCATCAGATGAGAAATAGCCCACAGTCATCCTACTGAGCTTTCAATGACTTTTGATACCTCCTCAGATGTGTCTTGCTTGTTGCTTACGCCTGAGTGAGTTGTGGCTTTTGATGGTTTGGGAAATGTACCACACTTTCAAGTTTTATTTTGTAATCCCTCTGTGGATGTGTTTGAAACAAGCATGGTACTGTACTCTTACCTGATATAGTGGTCTGGAATCAGAATTATTTTTTAAGTGGGAGAGCTCTCCATTTTAATGTTTTAAAGTTTTGTTTTTTTAATACAATCTTGGCATTGGAAGGGAAGTGAAACAAAAATAATGTTTACTAAAAAGCAGAGTCTACTCTTCCCCTTTATGAGTGTATTCATGGTTAAAGAGACTTGGTTTTGTGTTGCCACAGTGAGCTTGGAGAGGGATGCTTGACAGCATGCTAACTGAAGCCAGAGCAAGTACATCTCCATTGGGTAACTGGGAACTCTTCAGTAAAAGCCAAGGAACTGATTAGTCATTGATCATAATGGGATTGGTTGCAAGTAGACATGCTGTCTGGCTTAAGCACCCAAAGAAAAGAATGCAGCTGCCTGTTTAGAGTTAACCTAGGTTTCTGTGTATACTTCACACACTTAAAACTGTCCATTTTCTTATCAGACCAAAGAGCAAAAAAGAAAAACAAAAAGTAAAACATTTTACAGGTTTATGTCACTCAGGTACAATTTTGTGGTAAGATTTTTTGTCTGTTTCTTTGTATTGCTTTTAAGAGTCCTTAGCATATTCTGCAGTTGCCTCTGTTCTCCTTGGGGCACCTCAGTTTTGGATGCTACTCTTGAGATCTCTCCTGCTGTTATGTTATATGAATGATAGGATGTAAGTGACCATTATCATAAGGGCTCTTTGTAAAAAATTCAAAAAATTTTTTAAAAAATTTGAAAGATGTGTACATTTTATAGTCTGGCTCTCAGTTTGATATCTTGCTGTCAGGTATGTTTCTCAATCTGTATTATCCATCCCATCAATAAATGTAAATGGTAAAACATTCATGTGATTGTTGTTTATATATATCCTGTCTTCTAATTAGTCCTTAGTCTTTAACTGTCAATTTTATTGGTGCTATTACCATTTTACTTCAGGGGTTCTTTGGTTTGGTTTGGTTTGGTGCTGCGTCTAGAACACAGGTCCTCACACATGATAGGCAACCACTCTTAACAGTGATCTACACACCCTCAGCCCATTTTGCTTCAGTTACACTTTTTTTTTTAATTTAAATTTTTTCAGTAGTAGGGATCAAACTTGGGACCTTGAGCTTGTGAGGCAGGCAGTGGAACCACTGAGCTAAACCCCTGGCCCCATGCTTTTGCTTCTGAGTCATGGTCTCCCTCTGTAGTTCAGGCTGGCCTTGAACTCCCTGTGTAGCCTGGGCTGGCCTTGAACTCAGAGCAGTTCTACCTCAGCCTCCTAGGTGCTGAGTGGATTGATTACAGGTTTGCACCACCATGCCCAGCTTGTTTTAGTAGTAAGTATTGTGTTCTTGCCATCCAAAATCTATAGGGATTGAGTCCATTGGAAAGACCCAAGATTTGGCCATTATGCTAAACCCAGTAGTATAAAGTATGTTAACAAAATTAAAAAACCTTTGATATATTGTTCGAATACCTGAAAGTAACTTTTAAATATTATAAAAATTACAGCTTTAACAGATGATAGCAACATTTATCTAGCAAGCATTATCAACATTTCATAATTGTGTCTTGTGTCTTTGAAAAATCTGAAAGGAGCCAGGCGTGGTGGCACACGCCTGTAATCCTAGCACTTGGGAGGCTGAGGCAGGAGGATCGCTGTGAATTTGAGACCAGTGTGGGCTACATAGTGAGTTCCAGATCAGCCTCAACTACATAGTGGGACCCTGTCTCAAAAAACAAAACAATGTTTTTTTTTTTTTTTTTTTTTTTTTTGGTACCAGGGATTGAACTTGGGTCCTTGTGCTTGCAAGGCAGGCCACCGAACTGCTGAGCTAAATCCCCGGCCCTAGCAGAATATATTTTAAAGGAAAAGTATTTCGATGGTTTCTAGAAAAATTGGTAGTGAATACTCAGCTGGGACATAATAAAACCACATATACAAGGTGAATCAAGTTGCATGCTTAAGGGAACGTTTTTTATGATAGAATGAAGCATGACACACTTCTCAAAATCATTTGGATTCTATTCTCTTGTTTTCTAAGATAGGGTACTTTGAGTTTTTATTTGCTAGGCAAGCTTCCCCCTTCCCTTTTTGGCAGTGCTGGGAATTGAACCCAGGTTTTTGTGTATGCTAGTCAAGCTATATCCCCAGCCCTCCATTTTGTTTTTCTTTTTTAATGGTAGCAAAGTTTTATTAAAGGTAGGAAAAGAAACAGGCTCTTGCAGAGTGAGTTTAGACAGAGTAAAAATAGTAAAAGTAGGAAAGAACAGGCTCTACAGGGTGAATTTGGGCCAAGTAAAAGTAGGAAAAGACACCTTAAAGGGTGAGGGCAGGCCACTATACAAGAGAGAACACAGTGGCCTCCAATTTTTATTTGATACACTTTTGAAATTTTTGTGGAAGTTGCTGGCACTTCAGGAATTCTGATCTTGTCATCCTTGGGTATGGGTAAGGTGTACATCAATATAAAATTATAGTATAGGCTGGGCGTGGTGGTGCACGCCTGTAATCCCAGTACTCAGGAGGATCTCTCAGAATTTGAGACCAGCCTGGGCTACATAGTGAGTTCCAGGTCAGTCTCAACTACATAGTGAGATACTGTCTCAAAAAACCAAAAACAAAAAAGTTATAGCTGGAATCCCAATATAGGGCTTGTTAAATGAATTGATGAGGACCTAGGCTTCATTATATGATCAGTGTCTTATGTCCTGATCTCAACCCATTCAAGAGCTAAAGAGACTGATTGCTGCCATTCAACATTCTGTAGAAAGTTGAACCCCATTCTGCCGCCTGCTTTGCAAGCGTAAGGTCCCGAGTTTGATCCCCAGTACCAAAAAAAGAAAAGTTGAATCTCTACAAAACTTCTGTAGCTTCTCTTAGAGGTTTATATTCACAGTAATCTTTGGCTTTTGGCTCCCCCCGCCTTTTTAATTTAGTTTGAATTGTCAGGGCTACCTTTTTGTACTGTGTAATCTCAACCCTTCATTTCACCTAACACTCAAAACCAATAGAGTGGGCCGGGGATTTAGCTAGTGGTTTGGTGTCCTGCCTTGCAAGCGCAAGGACCCGAGTTCAATCCCTGGTACCAAAAAAAAAAACCCAATAGAGCAAGCCATGGGAATAACTGAAAGATCATTTTAGGATCATTTCAGAAAACATTTGAAATATCAGAGGTTCTGGTGTGAAAACTTGCATGTTTAAGAAGTAGCAAGGAAAAAAAAAAAGAAAGAAATAGCAAGGGAGGCTGGGGATTTAGCTCAGTGGTTTCACTGCCTGCCTCACAAGCACAAGGACCGGAGTTCGATCCCTGGTACCAAAAAAAAAAAAAAGATGAAGAAATAGCAAGGGAGCCAGTTAGCTGGGATGGAAACAGTGAGGTGGAGAGGGTGGTAGGATGTGAGATTAGAGCAATAGATAGCTAGACGCCAGGGGTTGGGGGAGGCTTATAGATCACGAATAAAGACCAAGCAAATGAAACAGACACCACCATGAGGTTTTGAGCCAGAGGAGTGACTTCCTACTTCGGTGGGCCAGGGGATTTAGCTCAGGTTGCCGCCAACCTGCCTTGCAAGCCCAAGGTCCCGAGTTCGATCCCCAGTAATAACAACAAAAAAATGTGCTTGGGTCTTAAAGGCAAAGAGGCTCTCACAAGTTTAGTAAGAGACAAAATGAGTGACAGGTTGCAAGTGCTGAGGTAATGAGCAGTAGTGATATATTTCAAGTTTGACTTTCAGTGTTTGGCCTTGACCAGTTGGAAGGAGGAGGTCGGCTTTAACATTAACACTTGAAATGTCAAGATGTCCAGTGGGGATGTCTAATGGACAGATGGCTAGTTTCCAATTCAAAGTATGGGTCTAGGCCAGAGACACATTTGAGAGTCATCTGCTTATGAATGAAATGAGATAGATAACTGAGGGAGGATTCATAGGAAAGAGAAATGTCAAATGTAGTTGAGACTGAAGTGGAACTCACTATGCAGCCCGGGTTGGTCTCAAACTCACAGTGATCCTCCTGCCTCAGTGCTGGGATTACAAGTGTGCGCCACCACGCCCGGCTCTGGGGTTTTGATTTCAGTTTTTGAGCCAGGGTCTCACTATGTGCTTCAAACTGGCCCTGAACTCACTATGCAGCCCAGGATGGCCTTGAACTTGTGGTAATGCTCTTGCCTCAGCCTCCCAAATGCTGGGATTACAGGTGTGTGTGTACAGGTGTGTACAATGTACAGTTTTATTGACATTTCTCTCAGGGTTTACTTTGGAATGTTGGTATCTAAAAAATGTCTTTCTTGTTCCTTTCAGGTGGTCAGTGCTCCCTGATGGGCTTCATTTTTATTTGGGTTGTTTTAAAAATTTAGTCCCCTATTTATCTATCATCTATCTACCTACTTTATTTATCGATTTATATGTATTCCAGGCTGACCTTGAACTTGCAGTGACCCTCCTGCCTCAGCCTCCCAAGTGCTAGGATTACACGCATCACCACACCTAGTTTGAGGAGCTTTAATCATAAATATCTAAATTAGGTCTCAGTCCAGGGAAGAAGGGTATTTAAAGAATGCTTCTCTTGGCCCGGGAATTTAGCTCAATGACACCTGCCTTTCTTTTTGTTCTTTTTTGGTATCGGGGATTGAACACAGGACCTTGCGCCTGTGAGGCAGGTGGCAGAACCTCTGAACTAAATACCCAGCCCTTAACCTGTCTTTCAAGTGCAAGGTCCTGAGTTTTATCCCCGGTACGGGGGTGTGGGGGGCAAGGTCGTCTTTCTGGTATCAATAGGTGTAGGCCATGACACCCAGGAATGCTGTATGCCTTGTTGGAAACAGCCAGGTGACCAGATATTGGAAGGAATGTGCATAATGTGTAACCTCAGGGCCATTTTGTCCTGTGGGATTGCTAGCTACCCGCCTAACAGTGGTGAACAGAATGATCCGTAAATAAACTGAACGGCTCACAAAAGGACATTAATGCCTTTTCAGGTATACAGTCAAATATACAGTGATCCTCTACACTCTGTTCGATTTTCTACCTGCGGAGCAGGGCTGGGGAGGAAACAGCTACCTAGGATCATAGACAGCGGGGAAAAAGTGCCTGAAAATATGCTGCATTCAAGGGTAAAAAGTATCCGGAGCCGGCAACCAGCCGGGTAGCCCGCCTTCCCAGCCGCCCACTCTTATGGGGCGGGAGTTATTGACAGACAGTTCATCTCAGCCTCTCCAGCCGCTCTTTTTCACGGCCGTCAGCCCTCCTAGACGTGGTAGGTAAGGGTCTCGGCCAATGGTAACACACCGCCATAGGAGCAGCAGCCAATCAGTGGTGAGAAGCTCGGAAAGGAGCTGGGCGGAGTTAGGAGCCGCTGCATCTGCCAGAAGAGGCCAGGCGACGCGGCGTGTTGTGGCGCAGCGGATCGCGGTGGCGGCGGGGGTAAGATGGCGGCATTGCTTGCTCTTCGCGTTTGCAGTTAGGCTGTTGTCTCGTCCTTTTTGTCGGCCCTGAGCAGTAAATCTGCCTCATACAGCGTCAGAGTCACCGTCCTTCCTACAGGCTTCAGGGAGCCAGGTTCTCTGGTGCCCACGGACTTGGGACAAAATGGCGCTTGCGCGGCGCCTGAGGCTGGG